AAAGGTAGTGTTTTTTTGTTTTTGGGTTTTTTTTGTGGTTTTTTTTTTTTTTTTTTTTTTTTTTTTTTTTTTTTTTTTTTTTTTTTTTTTTTTTTTTTTTTTTTTTTGCTGCATTAGAAGAATGTTTTGATTTGTGAATTACAATTTACAGTTTCCCAATTCACGAGACACTTACAAAATCCCAGTTTTCAATGATCACTTATTTTCTATTTGTCTAGCACTTTGATACTAGGTGCTGGGAATACAATGGATGAGCAAAAACAAATGTGTTCCTTGCTGTAATAAAGCTTGCATATTCAACAATTCTAATGTGAGAGATGGACATTATTGAATAATCTAGGCAAGTGTAAACTTCCTACTGAATCAAGGAATATGAAAGAAAATAATGGTACCATACTAGTCTAAAATAGGAGATTTTTCCAAGATCCCATGTGACCTGTGATGATTTCTCCCTATTTATTCTTAACTGGGGTAAGACCTATGCACACTCAGTGTTCACCAACAGAAGCGTGACTTGCTCTTGGCCAACTTTTCAGAGCTACAGCTTGAAAGCAGATGTAGACAGCCCCACGTCCAGTCCCTAGTTAGCGGTCATCCTACTAGAGCTCCTCAGCTCCAAGGAACTAGCCTCGCTGTCCGCACTGTGTGGCTCACGGATACCCTAAAGATAGAGTGCGCACCACGCCACCATAGCAGCAGCAGCCATGCTGTCCGGAACACGTGGCTCTAGTCTTCTTAGAACGCGAAGTGCCCATGCCTGTGCCCCTGCCACCTCCTGCCTAGTTCCTGTCCAGGAGTCTCTCTCTAAATGTTTAGAAAAAAACAAAAGAGGAGAGAGCCTTAGGCAAATTCAGAGAGAACTGATCCGGTGGAGGGACACAAGCCTTGTTTTCTAGGGAGTCTAAATCCTGGATCTTAGAGTCAGGGGCCCAGATAGTACGACAGAAAGAAAACCTTTCCCTAGGTTTTCTCCTGCAGTCTCTGTAGTCTGTCTTCTGAGGAGAAGCTTGAGTTTTCCATGAGGTGCAAGTGTGTGTGTGTGTGTGTGTGTGTGCACGCACATGCGCGCATACATGCAAGTGTGTGTAAGAGAGATTCAACATACTCCATATGAAGGTTATTGACAGTGGACACCTCTCACTCATCCTCCCTTCAGTGTGACATCAGTTGTTGGTAAAGCTTCCATCTTTTTTCACTATCATCACATATATTTTAGTGGACAATTGAGAGACAATCCATCAGAGGCTGTCAGCAAAGGGCCTTTTTGACTGAAAAATGACACATTTATAATCTAGTATGCAACATTTGGCGTTCAGTTTTGAGGCTCTACCCAAGGTCCCAGACTTTTTGTGCTTAAAAGGCATATGGCCCTTCCTTTGCTGGCCCCACCAACCCCTGCTAATTGTTACTCTGTTGCATGGATCTAGGCTTCCTGATGAAACTCTACTATGTGGACAGCATAGTAGAGCATCTGATTCTGTATTTTTATCAATTCTGAAGGGATCCTGGGATAAGCCCTACCATTGTTTGCCAGTAGACAAATTATTGGTGGCTTCCAAGATCCCCATCATACATATTTCCTGGTTCCATCACTGTTTCTACTACATTCTTGGTGAAGTAAAGGGCTGGAGTCCTGCACTGAGTCCATAGCAGTAACAGGGTCACAGAATTTCACTTCACGTGCTAAACTACTAAGGATCAAAGATCCTAATTTGCCCAGAGATATCCCACATAAGATCAGATGGGGTCCAGGTAAAACCCTGAGAAAAAAGGAAAGAGACTTTAACACCTTCATCATCCTCTCTCTTCATCCTTCGCATAGCCCAGTGTGTATCAGTTACATTCTTTTGGCCACAAAGAGCTCAGGTTTCCTTAGACATCCATGTTACTGGGACCTGATCATGGCCATCAGCAGCAGATGCCAATTTTTGTATCCTTCTTCCAAGCCTCTTCTCAACTAATTTGACCCATCCTTGGCCATTGCTAACGCAGTTACCCTGTGCTGTGGTACCGACCTGGATGTGAAACTTCTCTAAGAGGTTTGTAGGGCTCCCAGTCTACACCCCAGCAGGGACAGGATGCCCTTCATCCACATTTCCAAAAAAACCCTTCTGGAGATTTGTATTTCCCAGCCCCTGAGGCTTGACACCAGCATGAGGGAGCCTGGAAGTGCCTCTTTACTCCTGTAATCGGACCAGGCAGGGCGCCAGCTCCTCCTGTGACACCCACATCCGCCTTCCTCCACTGCTCTGCAGTTGATTTCAGAAACTTCACAACACCATCTCACCCTCCGGGTTATAGCTCTTGATCTTCCAAACCAAACATATTCAGAATTCCAAACACAGCCACACCAATCACAAGCATACAGCTCTAGAAAATCAAAAGTGCTTCACTTTTGGACATTTGTGTGTGCTATAAATTGGAAAATCCATTCAGAAACATAATCAGCTTCTCTGAAGTAAGAAACATCAAAGACTGGGCAGAGCCTTAAGATAAATGGAACCATCTCTGAGGGGTGCAGGGTTACAGAAATGAAACATATCTGTTAAAAATATGATCTCACCTGAAGAATTTTAGACACCAAGCCAAGGAGATACCTTTTTAAAACATCTTCAGATCATACCCTGCAATACTAGAGATCAAATGGTGTTTCATCTGACTCTGAGGGCAAAAGTAGCTGTGTTTAGCTTATGAGGCTTGTAAAAATACACACAAAGAGCTCAGGGTTAAGTAACAGAGATGGCTTGAATTCCTTTAGAAAAGCTCTGTATGATCTGACGTGGTCTGTGAGTCACCAGAACAGGTTCCAGTGAGCTTTGTTGGTGTGGCCTGCACCAGACAGGTGGGTTCTCCGAGCAGATGTGGTACCTTCTGAAGCTGGATCAAACAAACCAGAAGGAAGTTCTTGGACAGCAGATGCTCCTGAAGCCAACAGGAGAAACAGACACAATTCACAGAAGGCAAAGACAAGAAATCCACTTTCAGCCTTGGCATACAGGACAGTGGCATGGAGAGCTGGCCATCAGATGATCACTGTGACCGTGGAGCTGGCACTGACCCAAAAGCCTAGAAATCCTCAGCCACAGAAAGAACAAAACCCGTCCTAATTGAAAACACTTCTGACAAAATGCCAAAGGGAGATGCTGCCACTTTTCCTTTTTCAGATCATAAATTACCCTCGTTTCCTGGAAAAATTATATCTGGACAGATGTATTGCCCCTTGAAAGACCCAGCAAACTGGTCTTTGAGAATCTTGCCTGAAGATGTAGAAAACTGCCAACCATTCAGACTTCCAGCTCGTGAGGGTGAAAACTGCCTCCGATGATCAATGAATGCCTGCTCTCAGAGGTCAGACTCAATAAGTATGAGCCAGTGGAAGCTATTAAAAGAGCTAGCTCTCGTTGTGATAAAGCACATTCTGGCAAAGCCACAAAAAGGAAAATTATAGCAATCAATACAGATAAAAGTGAAAGCCAGATGAAAGTTTTTAGCCAAACTTCTCTTCACTTCTGCTACGATGGATTAACTTTGGGGTGCTGAAGTCAGCACATTTGAAGATTCAGAACATTGAATATGGGAGTCAAAATTGGGTAGACATTTAATTGAAACTATAGCAGACCCTTGACATTTACAAGGGTTAATGCTGCCTCTCACACTTGTCAACTTCTACCTTCAATTGCATGTAAAACATCTTCATCTCTTCAAGCCACTTATAGCTCTACACAGCCTTTCTCAGTGCATAGATGTCATATACAGGCCTTGAAATAATGTATGTTCAAGCTTGTTGGGGCTAATCCTATGAAATTTACCAGAGAACAGATAAAATCCAGGAAGTATAGCTTACTCACAGGGTTTGCCAACGAACAAAGTCAGAATAACGTACTCTTGCCCACCATAAGATGGTCACGTCCCTGGAAACTGAATGTTACCGTACATGGCAAAAGGGAATGCAGGTGTGGTTGAGGTCGTGAAAGGGAGACTATCCTGGATTATGCAGATATAATCGCAAGGGTCCTTATAAGAGACAGGCAGGAGGGTCAGAGTCAGAGGAGACATGACAGTGAAGGCAGAAGTTGGAATGGTGTGAACTGCTGGGAGGGAACCATAAGATAAGGAATGAAGGAAACTTCTAGAATATATGGGAAAGTAAAGGTGGGATTATACCCCGATCACTCAGAAAGAACACAGCCCTGCGAACACTTTGAGTTTAGCTTAGCAGAATCTATTGTAGGCTTCTGAATTCCAGAATACAGAAGTCTGAATAGGATACATTTGCGGTGCTGCAAGCCATTTTGTGGTAATTTGTTACAGCAGCAATAGGAAACTAATGGTCAATGTTTGTTTTTAACCCTTTTCCTTTATTCTTATTTTCTGTTTCTGACATCAAATGTAACTCCAATTCAATCAAGGTTTCTAGAATGCTTTTTTAAACAAGAATTTCATAAGGTCCTCCTTTACTCTCACCTGCCATGATGTTGTGAATAACTCCTCCCATGAGGTTGTGCATTTCCAAGTAAAATCAAGGAGAATGTATTTTGTACAGAAGGAGAGAGAACTGATGTTGATTAATTGCTCAGACACCATAGCGGGTATTTGGCATATATATCATTCCATTTTCCCCAAACTACCCCCTCCCTCCATTATGCAGCTGAGGCAACCAAAGCTCAAAGAAGATAAGTAATTTATACTGTAAATGAGTCACCAGTGATGAGACCGGAGCACAGGTCTATATGACTCCAATATGCAAATTCTTTTAGTTAGACTGTGCTTTTTCTAAACTACTCATACAAAACCATAAAATGCTAACAGTACAATGTCTGCATCAATTAGGAAGAAATGGTGATTTGGGAAGTGGGCATGACTCCCTAGAAAGATACTTGGGGAGTACTTAGGATCTTTCTAATAGTTCATCATGGACTCTCACCGCTGTTTTCTCTTAGGAGAAAAATGCAATCGATGGAGTATGTTACCATTCCTAATGATTTTAAATCTTCTTATAGGGGTGTTTGCATTTGGACTTTTTGCTACTGACATTTTTGTAAATGCCGGACAAGTGGTCACTGGGCATTTAACACCATACTTCCTGACTGTGTGCAAGCCCAACTACACCAGTACAGACTGCCAAGCGCACCACCAGTTTATAAACAATGGGAACATTTGTACTGGGGACCTGGAAGTGATAGAAAAGGCTCGGAGATCATTTCCCTCCAAACACGCTGCTCTGAGCATTTACTCCGCCTTATATGCCACGGTGAGTGTGTGAGTCTTGTCGCTCTTAAGTCCAGTTTTTGGTGGGGTATGTGTCTCCCTGCCCTCTGTCTCCATTCTTTCATTGTCACTTATAGTGACTTTTAAAGTTATGTATGGCGTATTTCTCTATACTATGCTATTGATATAATAGTTCGCCGACACTTCTACCCCACTTTCAATCTCCTGATCCGCCAGAAGATATTTGTTCTGGAATATTTTGATAATCACCTAATTACATCCTCCCATTTTACAGATATCAAAGCTGGGGCCCAGACAACAGCTAAGATCATACAACTAGAGCAGAGACCCAGACTCCCGGTACCATGCCTGAGATTTCCTCACCACCCACAACAGTACTCTTTGTCAAAGTTTTGGTTGGTTTCAGAACAGTACATCTTCTCACACCTGCCTAGAAATTTACAAGCATGCAACATGCAGAAGGATGAATACACAGCTTTCCTTTGCTCTGACACTTTTCTCCATCACTTTGCTAGGAGACAGGATGATCCCAGAAGAACCTGAACACCCAAAGTTTGTTTCTCATTGTCTCCCAGATTGCACAGCCATTGGCTGCCCCACTGGGGTATGATTTATTTTTTTTTTGTTCTAGTAACAGAAAAACCAAAGTATGTCCCACATCTTAAAGAACAATGGTGTCTTATTTTCCAACTTTTTAACTGTATTCACTTTGTAAATAACCTCATTTCCCTCTTGTCTGGCCTATGCATCCTTAGGACCCAGAATATAGACAGGGATCAGCTCAAAGGCTCCAAAGGCTGATAAGATACTGCTGGTGGACATCAGGTACATTTACCAGTGGTAGAGCAACTTTTGGCCAAAAACACCTCCTTTCCTTACTTCAACTTATTTTATATTCAGAATATGACTAGTCTGGTGATTCTCAATGGAAAGTGGAGAAGGGAAAAGACACAGGGAAGATTGCTTTCAAACTGCCCATTCTTCCCAAACATTCCGAGTGTGCCCTCAGCTCACCCCCACCCAAGGAGATGCTACCCTTCCTGTCACTGAGTGTAATTGTAGGAGGCACATTCTGCCTCTGGGGGAAGAAAAGGGGTCTGTGCCATCGCCACTAAGGTGGAAAAAAGGTGAAAACTCTCAGGAGTTTCTTATGCCTCAAATGATTCTTTAATTTGTTACATAAAAACTGCATGTTCTGAACCTAATCATTAACACACATTCTTGTGACCGAGTCTGGTCTATTTATTTAAAACAATTAGGAACAGATAGTGCCTTTGTGTCCCATGTATAGGTTTATTTTGCCAACCAACAACTACCGAATACGAGTCTTTCTAGTTATTTCTTTTGGATCTACTCTTTAATGAATATGTGACAAAAATGATTTCAGCTGCCCCCACATTAAAGAAACATGGATGCAAATAACACAGAAGCCTCAGTTTACAAACAGTTTATAGCTTTGTTAAATGTCTTTGCTTTACCTAAAACAAAACCAAAAAACCTCTATGTAGTTGTTTTTATTTTTTAAACAAAGAAAGTCCTCTGAGGTATTCAACATATTTTCTAATTTTCAGAATGTTGATTTGACCTAATTATCTAGACCCTAAACAATGTACTCTTGTGCCTTTTCCTGTATTTTTTTATCAGACTCAAGTCGTTGCTGTGTGAAAATAATTTTTATAGTGCCATTATAAAAATTATTCTGTTACTTACAACAAACTACTGTCTCAACAAATGAGGCATGAAGTTCTTTGGGGAAGAAAGAAGTAAATATTATCAGCTCACACAGAATAAATGCTACTATATAGCATGTTTTCAAGGATTCAGGTGTTACCCAATTCAAATCATGCCTCACAGGCTATTGTCAGATAAACCCTGATACAAGATTTCAATTGCATAAATCTTCTGAGCCTCTATTACATGTCAAATGCTTTTAGAAACTACTCAACGAGGATTTCCTAAGCACTAATTAATACTACGAAGAATACCAACTAACCATAGGCTCATGCTTTATTTTTTTCTATATTTTTTTTTTGGCTCATGCTTTTAATAGTTTGTAATCTTATAGGAAAGATTTATAAAAGATATAATTGGAAACTAGCATAAACAACTAAATATATATAGATTTTAAGTAACACTTACCAGAGTCAGAAAATAGTGTAATAATATGCTGTAATTTAGGTAACTTTGATGTAACCACAGTTTTCTAGTGAATCTGTTACATGAAAGAGATTCCTACTTTCTGGTATTCTCACCAGTGTTGAGGCATCATTCTAGGATATTAAGAATTTCTATTGTAATACTGTAAAATGCATCTATTTAAACTTGTATGTTCTTAGGTCATACAAACATACTATAGAATGTAAGTATCAGATTATTATTATTATTTGTGAGATGGAGTTTCACTTGTTGCCCAGGATGGAGTGGAGTGGCGCGATCTCGGCTCACGGCCATCTCTGCCTGCCGGATGATGTGATTCTCCTGCCTCAGCCTCCCAAGTAGCTGGGATTACAGGGATGTGCCACCATGCCCGGCTAATTTTGTATTTTTAGAAGAGACGAGGTTTCTCCATGTTGGTCAGGCTGGTCTCAAACTACCAACCTCAGGGGATCCGCCCCCCTTGGCCTCCCAGATTCCTGGGATTACAGGCTTGAAGCACAGCATGTTACTTTTTAGGATTGCTCAACTCACAGAGCACGTTTGTTAAGAAATAATAGGTCAATGGTGCCCTCTAGTGGTAATTTGTAACCATTACCAAAGGTTATCTAAAAAAGTGTTGACTTATTTGAAAAAGGAACAGCTTCCTCTGATTCTAGACCGCCTGGGACACATTTGCTAACTGAGCCTGTAAAACGTAAAAGTCTTACCCAGCTCCCCACAACAAACTAATAACAGCTGCCTACATCTCAAGTGTCATAAAGTGCATCATCTTTTGCTTAGTTCAGGTCTCGACCTTTTGCATATTGTGGCACACATAGAAAAGTTTAATATTTTAAGAAACGGAGTAAATGAAAGAATAAAGCCGATCACAGCTGTCCTGAGGAATGAGGGAGTCCATTTACTAGCACAGCTGAAACCTATTTATGTGATACAGTTGTTGGTAGGTTCTAATTCAGCCCATCAACTAATCAGTCAACACTTTGGTATTAATTGCCTGTAGGTGTGACACAAAGCTTCATTCCCCCAGAAGGTTTACTTGGTATCTCAGACTCTCATGTGGATTTCTTATACCCCAAATGATTCTTTCATTTGTCACATAAAAACTTCATTTCCTGAATCTAATCATTAATGCTCATGCTTTGTGTCACTAGCAACTTGTTCCCATGTCCGCTAGATTACAAAAGGCCGATGAATGTACATCCGCTCATTGTTCTCGCTGCACTAGTTTCCTACCTAAACGCTTTACTAAATAGCTTAGCGGAGTTATTCAAGGAAGTGAGTGTGTTTGCTTTGACGCGGGCCCCTGCTTGCATATATGCTGGCGTACATACATGTGTACATGCATGCGTGTGTACACATCAGTACAAGGAGGCTGCCTGGTCACTCCCTGACCTCTGCCGTATTCCAGATGTACATCACAAGCACAATCAAGACGAAGAGCAGTCGACTGGCCAAGCCAGTGCTGTGCCTCGGGACTCTCTGCACGGCTTTCCTGACAGGCCTCAACCGGGTCTCCGAGTATCGGAACCACTGCTCGGACGTGATTGCTGGCTTCATCCTGGGCACGGCAGTGGCCCTGTTTCTGGTAAGTGGACTGCCCTCTGTTTACCTTTCCCCCACCTCTTCTTCTCTCTGAAAAACTGTGTCAGGTTTTCCAGACTTCACCATCTGGGTTCCTTTTGTCCCAACCTTGTGAATTGCAATTATCCTCCAAGTATTGTACATACTTTTGCTACAAAAATGATTTCAAAACACTCTTTCCTTTCGCAAATAGGATTGGCCATATTTCTTCTGGGTGTCAGGGAGAGAATTTCCCCTAGAAGAACAACAGCTGGCTCTACTTTCAACATTGGGCTTGGAACTGGGGCCAAGCAGACTAATGATAAATTGGCATACCTTCAAACCAATCTTCTTTAAGTATTTGCTCTCAGCATATTGGGGGCAGACGCTAAGTGCTGCTCGGGGGAGGAACAGAATGAAGAACACTGGTAGAATCAAGCAGGCTCTTCTCCCTCATTCCAAGAAACTCAAGTCTAGCTCCAAAGTCGCATCTCCTAATCAGAAATTTAAAAAACCCTGCCGATTGTCACACCCACCCTTCATGTTGGGCCTCTGTTACTGCTGGAACACGCCTCTTGGGAATCTTATTTTCACTAACTGCCTTCTCAACCACCTATCTTCCTGGAGAAGAGTTTTGGTTAATACAGTTTTTTTTATATATATATTTCTGATTATGTTTTAGTTCCTCAAATAGATGGAGGTCTGGCCACCTGCTCACCTAGGAAATCCCTTAAATAGAGTTGAATTTGATAAAGTGGTTAATTTTTCTTGTCTTCTCTCTCACAGTTTTATTGAAGCATGATAGGCATACAATAAATGACACATCAAGTGTGCAATTGGATCAGTTTTGGCACACTACTTTCCCTCCTGCCCTGCCTTTCCCCTTGTCCCCAGACAACTGGTGATCTTCTGTCATTCTCTATTAGTTTGCCTTTTCCAGGATTCCATAGTAATTGAATCGTAATGTTTTTCTGGTATCTTTCACCTAGCACTATTTTGAGATTCATCCTTGTTGTAGAATGCATCAATAATTAATTTCTTTTTATTGCTGTGTAGTATTCCATTGCATGGCCACACCTCAGAGATAAGGATTTCCATTATCTTCAAGGACTTAAAACAGGCCCAGAAAGATTTATGATGGATCATCAGGTCTGGAGGTTCCCATATGGTGCATGAAATGAATCCCCTAACAATATTCAGGAAGCCTCCCAAGGAGAAGGAAGCTATCACAGACTTCAAGGACCTCCCTCTTCCTATTCTGCCCTCTCTGGCCCTAGATGGACTTCAGTCCCATGACTTAACGCTGCCTTTTCTAGCCCCTCTTCCTTTCCTCCCAACATACACACATGCCTCTCCCAGCCTCTAATTGGTTTTCCAACTTTAAAAAAATCTGCTAAGATACAGACAATGCTCACATTTAGGAAACTGATTGAGAAGCTTCTTTCTAATTCAAAATGACAGGCATATCTCAGAGATAGTGTAGGTTTGGTTCCAGACCATTGCAACAGTGAATATCACCATAAAGCTAGGCACACAACTTTTGGGTTTACCAGGGCATATAAAAAGTTATGTTTATATTATTCTGTCGTCTATTAAGTATACAATAGCATTATGTATTTTTAAAAAACCAATGTATTTACCTTAATTTAAAAGCACTTTATGGCTTTTTAAAAAGCGTTGACACAGACACAAAATGAGCATGAGCTATTGAAGAAAATGGTTCAGTCAGCTTGCTGCCCACAGGGTTGTCACAAAGCTTCAATCTTTTAAAAACACAACATCTGCACCATGCAATAAAGTGAAGAGAAATAAAATGAGGACATGCCAGTATTTTGAATGGATCCAGGCATTCTTTCTATAGTGAAAGATGAAGACTAAAATGCAAATGCTCTGGATGAAGTTGCAGGAAAAGTAGTACCAAAGTGATCATGAAATGTTGATCTCTCATTAGGAATTTTCCTAAGGAATGTCTTTTAAAAAAAAAAAACCATTTTATGGATATATTGAAGTTATACACTTTTGGGGGTATGTGTGATATTTTGATACAAGCATACGATGTATAATGATCAAATCTGGGTAACTGGGATATCCTTCACCTCAAATACCTTGTGTTAGGAACATTCCAAATATATTCTTCCATTTATTTTGAAATATGTGGTAAATTGCTGTTAACTGTTGTCACTACTGTGCTAGTGAGATCTCATTCCTTCCATCTGACTGTATTTTTGTACCCGTTAACCAACTCCTCGTCCCACTACCCCCAACTACTGTTCCCAAGAAATCCTTTTTTTAAAAGAAGGAAAGAAAACAGGTGACTTGAAGGGAACCGAAGGGTTTCAAAGGGAGATCGATGGTATATAAAGACCTTGGCTCAAGAAAAGACAAACAGTGTTGCTATCCATCAGTTCTGAAGCCAGCCATCCCCAGTTAGAAAGGAAGAGCCTTTCTGACTGTCCAAGCAATTTTGTAGGGTCTTTGTGGGATGACATTTGGAGTTTGCTGAATCCCCACAAATTCTGCTCAACATTAAACTTGTTTTCTCTCCCTAACATGCAGCCATTTCTCACCACTCAGTAACTATTTGGTCTGCTTGTGCTTTCAAGTGACTTCCCAATTGATGTCAAAATGTGTTTTCCCACAAATGGCCTTTATGTAAGACCCAGGTCTGTGGTTGAATTGCTCTGGAATGAGAGAGACCCCCATGTCTGCACATGCCTGTGAACACACCTCACAGACACACACAAAGCTGGGAAATGGGAGGGGAAGGACGTTCTGGAGGAGCCTGGAGGCATTCCAAAGCAGAGACTTGAAGAGGAGACAGAAAAAGAGAGAAGACAAACACTGAGAATGGCAGCAGATCACCTGCAAATGTTCAATAGTGCTTTCTGTTTGTGTTTCCCATGAGGCGGAATGTGGGGGAAAGGGGAAGTAAGTTATTAGTAAAGCAGGGACCACATGCTGTATGCTTTATATACATCTAATCAAGTGCTCCCAGGGCAACTCGAACAATAGTTTTACCCTCATTCTATAGATGAGGAAAATTAGGCTTAAAGGTAAGTAACTTGCCCAACAGCCACCCAACAAATAACCAGCAGCAGGACCTGGGTCTCTTCACGCCAGAGTTTCTACATGTTCCCCCTGCTCCCATTTCCTGATGAGGGGAGTGAAAGAGTGTGAGAGTGAGATGGAGGTGAGCCAGGTAGAGAAGATGCATGCCAACGGACTACAGGGTTTGAAGAACTGCAGGAAAGATTCGAAGATGCTGGATGAAGAAACAAAGAAAGTGGAAAGAGGAGGGAAAAGGAGGCTGCTTTTTGGGCAAACAAAACAAAACAGAAGAGCAGGGAAGATGGTAGAGTCAGTTATGAAGAGACCTCAGCAGGAAACAGAAATGTGGGCAGTAACTTACAGGGAAAGTTTTTAAATGGAAGCAATAAAAGAAAACTAAAGAGTTATCTAATCTCAAGCAAATAGTCATAATTGAGGATGACGATCTAAGGTAAGAGTTAAAGACCAGCTAACAGGCTGCATGCTTGCTATATGTTTGGCACTTCTTAAGGGGCAAAATAGTATAAAGGTATGATGTAGGGGTTCTGGAGTTTCAATCTCTGTGTGACCTTGGGCAAGTTACCTAACTTCCTTGTGCCCCACTATCTAGACTGGAGATAATAGTACTTCCTTTATGAAATTGATGGGTGGGTTAAGTGAAATCAGATATAATCCTCAGGGTCGTGCCAGACACAGAGTGGCCCTCAACGGATTTTAGATGTTATTATGAGGTAATTTGCATTTACCGTGTCTTTAATCATTACAAATCTATGAAGTAGGTGTCACTATTCTTATTTTACAGGTGAGAAAATGGGCCCAGTGGGGTGGGGAGTGATTATTACTGGTCCTCTGGTGATGAAACACATGCTTCCACAGTACTTCCCATAGTCCCTTCCCCCCACTCAAAGGAAGAAGGTCACTCGGGTGATGATATTCAAGGGGAAAGGCCAGGCATTGATGGCTGCTGTCTGATCCCATTCTTTTTTCCCCCCTCATCCTGCAGGGAATGTGTGTGGTTCATAACTTTAAAGGAGCACAAGGATCTCCTTCCAAACCCAAACCTGAGGATCCCCGTGGAGTACCCCTAATGGCTTTCCCAAGGATAGAAAGCCCTCTGGAAACCTTAAGTGCACAGGTATGGTAAAGCAGTTTTAGCCAACCCAACCCACAGGCTGAACACTTTGGGTGGTCAGTATCAATCCATTGATACCACTCTATCTACCCAGCCTCAATGACAATCTGATTCATTTATTGTAAAGGCCCTCACGAAAGGCAGTCTTTACTTTTTCCTCTAAGTTATTCTTGTATTTATTCTGGGGGTTGGCAATCTTGAATCCTTAGAGAGTTCTTAGTCATGTCTCACATAAACCCCAGCTGTTTCAGGGTACTTCGACCTATAACATAATGTCATTTATGAAATTTGGACTAATCATATGGAAAATCAATTTGACTTAATAACTAGGACTATATTTGGAAAGAAAAAGGTTGCATTATACAAGGTGATGTAAGCTGGGGGCACATTTAAAAAGGCTACTAAATGTCCCTTAGGAAACTGTTTTTGTGACAAAAATTCATGCAACAGTACTTTGATCCGTTTCTCTGCAACAGAAACTGTATCATACCAGGGATACAAAAAATAACTGGATACAGTCCTTCCCCTCAAATAGTACAGATGAGAGGCAGGCACGGTGACTCACACCTGTAATCCTAGCACTTTTGGAGGCCAAGGTGGGAGGACTGCTTGAAGCCAAGAGTTGGAGACCAACCTGGTCAATGTAACAAGTCCCCATCTCTACTAAATGAAAATTAATGAATAAATAAATAATTCACAGATGATCAGGAATGGTGGCTATAAATAGGCAGTCATAATATGACATGCTGAATCAGTCCACAAAGTGCTGTGTGAATACAAATGAAGGGGAAAAATGTCTACTCTGTCTGAGAAGACAGGGAAAGCCAGGAAGAAGACTTGCCAACCGAAAGGAGCCTGGACAGATGATATGAAGCACTTAATTTTGCCCAGGACAATTGCTAGGTGCTTTACAAATATATTATTACTTGAACAACCATCCTATTGAAAAGATTCTGTGATTCACATTTCACAGGTAAAGATAAGAATACAGAAGACAGGCTGAGCATGGTGGCTCATGCCTATAATCCCAGCACTTTGGGAGGCCAAGGCAGGCAGATCGCTTGAGCCCAGGAGTTTGAGACCACACTGGGCAACATGGTGAAACCCTACCTCTACTAAAAAAATTCAAAAATTAGCTGGGCATAGTAGCACATGCCTGTGGTCCCAGCTACTCTGGAGGCTGAGGTGGGAGGAGTGCTCGAGCATGGGAGATTAAGGCAACAGTGAGCCGTGACCCCACCACTGCACTCTAGTGTGGGTGATAGAGTGAGACTCTGTCTCAAGACAAAACAAAACAAAACAAACAAACCTGAAGAGAGTGATGGTAGATTACCTGCCCAAGGCCCTATAGGTAGCAAGTGGGAAAGCTGGGATGAGTAGGAGTTTTTTAAGCAGATAGGGAACAACTAATAATATGGTTTTCATTAGCATGCCATCTTTTCCAGGTAGCTGAGCCCTGCTATCGTGTTGATTTCCTGTAATATTCTATTTATCCTGAAATCTTGTTTGTATTTGGCATTTTCCTACTCAGCCATTTTTATAGAAGATGTAAGGGAAAAGCAACTCATTTCCCTTTGGATTATCATGTATTTCATATCAGTGCAATATAAAATAATATTTTCATTATTTAAAGATTATTAACTATCACATCTCTCTAAGACAAACTACCCTATGCTTTTTGTTTGTTTCACTGGGATGGAGTCTCACTCTGTTTCCCAGACTGGAGTGCAGCGGTGTGAACTCGGCTCACTGCAACCTCCACCTTTCCCATTCAAGCGATTCCCCCACCTCAGCCTACCAAGTAGCTGGGGCTACAGGTGTGCACCACGACACCCAGCTAATTTTTTGAATTTTTAGTGGAGATAGATTTCTACCATATTGGCCAGGCTGGTCTCAATACCCTATGCCTTTTTACCTTTAATTAAATCTTTCTATTATTATTAATGAACTGGGTGAGCGGGGAGTATCTCCATTTTGGGAAAAATATTTAATGTTCTCCCTTAACACAGTACCAAGTATTGCCGTTTTGTTTTTCTTTAACTTGTATTAAGGCGAACATTTTGACTTGGTCTAGAAATACAATGTTAACAAAAATTTTTCTGGATGATTTATATATAGCCTGTTGCTACCGGTTAAATAGCAAATTAGCTAAATAGCTATACCTTGTAATGAAATGGTAAAATAGAATCTCTCTAACTTTTGTTCCCTAATTACAATCCTTGTATTTAGTAAAGTCAAAGCAAGTCTCTATTGGTGGGGGGGGGAGGGCGGTGGGCAAAATGACAACAAGTGAGCTTTAAAAAGAAACAAAATATTTGCTGAGTTCCACAGACGTGTCAGTCTGTGTCCTTGTAAATGCTGTCCCCTGAATATCCTGATGCAAGAACACCCCTTTTGCACACCCCTTCCTTCTGCCCAGCACTGCTCAAGCATGACCTCAGTCAGACTTTGTCCCCAGCTTTTTTTCTCTCTTCGTTCTCAGGACCATTGATTGTTGATCAGACCTAGAGATGTCCAGGCTCTATTTTGGAGGATTCTACTTAAATTCAAAAACGAAGTGCTAAAAAGAGTTTCAAAAATCGCTATTCACAAGCTAAAGTATTCTTGAAATAGATATTTATTCATTGTTTACAGGTAGTAGCTGAATTTCTCTGAAGCCCATCAATAGATCTTTGTGGCAATGGTTGTTACCACATATGGATACAGTTTGAGGCCTTGCCTGAACACCATGCTTGGGCCAAAGGTCCCTCCAGGCCTCTCGTGATTGTCGCTCTTAATTAAAGCCAAGTGTTCCCTCATGTCTGCCTCCTCCAAAGACTTGGGGCTCTGTGACAATCGGGACCCTATAAACCGTATTTCCTGGCATCACAAGGTGTGAAATAAATGTTCATGAATGAATACAAACTTGTCCCGAAACCTAAAGTAGTCACTTTAGCCAAAACCGAGAACCTCAAACTTAACCACAGTCACTAATTGACCATCCAGGCAAAGTAGAAATTTATGAGAGACGATGAGCAGGACTTCTGCAGGCTAGCCAGAATGAAGCTACAGAAGGCTAAAGCGAAGCAGTGCCTCTCACATTATGCTATCCATACCAATCGTGAAAAATTCAAGTCTACAACCATCTGCTTTTAGTATTAAACGTTTCCACATATCCAGTTAGAAAGATACGCCCTTTATTTGTTGGTCAAGAAAAGAGAACTAGCATTTATTGAGAGTCATCTCATTTAATATTCACAATACTGCATTGGTTTTATTATATCCTACCTTATAGATGAAGAAAGTAAGGCACCAGGTTTAAGTAATATGCCCAATATCACCCAGTCAAAATTAAATGAAGACCCATCCAATTCTAAAGGCTCTGCTGTTCTCCTACATTACACAGTCTGTGATTTCATTCAATGAAAATCTCTTTTTTGAAAGCCACAACTCCCAGCATGGACTATGAAAACATGCTACAGGGGGCTGATATATTGGGCCTGAGCTATAGTTCTTCCAAAATAAATATCCCCTGTGGGCAAGAACTTCCCTTGCAACTCCAACAGCCATGGTTTCTACTAGAAATGACATCTTCGTAATTTTTGGAACGGAACCATCTTCCCAGGAAGTGGATTTCTGGGATCAGAGATTAGACCCTCTCTTCAGAGCACACATTCAAACACATGAAATCCATCCCACCATTCAAAGTACCTTAAAGGGAAGACTGAATGGGGAGGGCACCCGTCACCCTCTTTCCCTTTCTCCCAAGACATTCTTTTCCCTGTGCCACATGGAGCCCTCAGAGCCACAGTGCTCTGGTCTTCTCTAAAACATTAACTCAAATTGGAATATCTGCATTCTGTGATTCCCCTTGGTATAGCTGATAGAGACAGGGTGCATTTTCTAAAATCTTTCTCAAATACCATAAAGAAACCAAAAAGTAAACAATTACAAAAACAAAAATAGTCAAGTTTTTCAAAGTATTATTTTATGATTCTATAAAGTTATTGGGATCCCAAAGCAACCAACTCTTAATTATCCATGTTCTACACCCCCAGGCTCACAATGTACATAAGCAGTCAGCTGAGTGTTGTTCAGTTGCATTCTTGTCAAACAGAAATATTAACAAATTGAATATTCTATCCAAATAGAAAGCATATTACAGAAGTAAAAGGATATTTTTGCCTTAGGAAAGAAATGCACCAAACCTGAGTTTACACAAAGATTTCAGACAGAAGTACCTTGAAAAATACAAAATATTCTATTTCTAAAATGTGTATCTGAGCTCTAAAGAAGATAATGTAAATCCCCAGTGTTCTAAAAACAGGAATCAGAAAAGCCATAATAATTAGATCAAAGACACAATTTGTTAAAGTATTTAATAATTTCATAGACCCAAAGCATTGAGTTTTAAGTTCAAATATAAGACAAGTCCTTGGGTCTGCAAGAAGTGGAAGGTTACATGTAGTTTTAAAAATTGAATGCTTCTATTTGATGGACCTGGAGCAGATACTATCTGCTGCTCACGTTTCTATTTTTCACCAGTGCAAGAAAAAAGTATCCTTGAGCCTTCTGATTGTGGCAGCCAAGATTGAATAGAGGAGTAATGGCAGGGAAAACATGGAGAGAGAATTTTTGCAACTCAGAAATAACCTTGTCAACAGTGAAGAGCCCGTTTTACTCAAAAGAAGAACCTAAATATCTACCCTCACCTGTTTGATTACATGCATAGAAGCTTAATAGTTAAAACTAATTAAAAGTAAGCCAGTGACAAAAAAGTATTTGATGTAATTACAAGGAAAATGAATGAATCCTCAGTCATAGGAGATTGTAATACATTTCTCTTATTAATAAGCAAATAAAAATAGTAAAGATACACATGATCAATAAGGTTAATCTGATGTCCATTATATGTAACCCTCCTCAAAATACATGAAACATTATGAAAATGCATCATGTACAAGGCTCTCATACAAGTCTGAAGAAAAACATTTTAATGGATCTGTATTATGTAAACCACATTTTCTCTAGACAAAAAAATAAGTTAACTAAAAACAAACCCAAAAAAAGTCTATACATTTTGAAATATTAAACTCACTTCTATGTAACTCATGACTCAAAGGATAAAACAGAAAGTTTTTAAAAACTGGAACTGTTTCATATTAAAAACATTACATTAAAAATGTGTAAGATGCTAAGTTACTCTGAGGTCCTTAAATGTTTGTATTAGAAAATACTGAAGTGTAAGACAGAATTATATTGAGAGCAAGTTTAGGTGAGGATGCCCTGCACAGTAGCTTGTGCCTATAATCCCAGTACTTTATGAGGCCAAGACAGGAAGGTCAGTTGAGCCCAGGGGTTCGAGACCAGCCTGGGAAACATAGCGAGACACTGTCTCTACAAAAAATTTGAAAGTTAGCCAAGCGGGCCGGGCGCGGTGGCTCACGCCTGTAATCCCAGCACTTTGGGAGGCCAAGGTGGGTGGATCACAAGGTTAAGAGATTGAGACCATCCTGGTCAACATGGTGAAACCCTGTCTCTACTAAAAATACAAAAATTAGCTGGGCATGGTGGTGCGCTCCTGTAGTCCCAGCTACTCGGGAGGCTGAGGGAGGAGAATTGCCTGAACCCAGGAGGTGGAGGTTGCAGTGAGCCGAGATCGCACCATTGCACTCCAGCCTGGGTAACAAGAGCGAAACTCTGTCTCAAA